TCAGTAACAATTCTGTGTCCCTCAGTAATAATTCTCCTGTCTGTCCCCCTAAGTAACAATTCTGTGTCCCTAAGTAACAATTCTGTGGCCCTAAGTAAAGTTTCTGTGGCCCTAAGTAACGTTTCTGTGGCCCTAAGTAACGTTTCTGTGGCCCTAAGTAACGTTTCTGTGGCCCTCAGTAACAATCTGTGTCCCTCAGTAACAATTCTGTGTCTGTCCCTAAGTAACAATTCTGTGGCCCTAAGTAACGTTTCTGTGGCCCTAAGTAACGATTCTGTGGCCCTCAGTAACAATTCTGTATCCCTCAGTAACAATTCTGTGTCTGTCCCTGAGTAACAATTCTGTGGTCCCTAAGTAACAATTCTGTGGCCCTAAGTAACAAGTTTCTGTGGCCCTAAGTAACAATTTCTGTGGCTCCCTAAGTAACGTTTCTGTGGCCCTAAGTAACGTTCTGTGGCCCTCAGTAACAATTCTGTGTCCCTCAGTAACAATTCTGTGTCTGTCCCTAAGTAACAATTCTGTGGCCCTAAGTAACGTTTCTGTGGCCCTAAGTAACGTTCTGTGGCCCTCAGTAACAATTTCTGTATCCCTCAGTAACAATTCTGTGTCTGTCCCTGAGTAACAATTCTGTGTCTGCCCTAAGTAACGTTTCTGTGGCCCTAAGTAACGTTTCTGTGGCCCTAAGTAACATTTCTGTGGCCCTAAGTAACGTTTCTGTGGCCCCTCAGTAACAAATCTGTGTCCCTCAGTAACAATTCTGTGTCTGTCCCTAAGTAACAATTCTGTGGCCCTAAGTAACATTTCTGTGGCCCTAAGTAACGGTTCTGTGGCCCTAAGTAACAATTCTGTGGCCCTAAAGTAACGTTTCTGTGGCCCTAAGTAACGTTTCTGTGGCCCTCAGTAACAATTCTGTGTCCCTCAGTAACAATTCTGTGTCTGTCCCTAAGTAACAATTCTGTGGCCCTAAGTAACGTTTCTGTGGCCCTAAGTAACGGTTCTGTGGCCCTCAGTAACAATTCTGTGTCCCTCAGTAACAATTCTGTGTCTGTCCCTAAGTAACAATTCTGTGGCCCTAAGTAACGTTTCTGTGGCCCTAAGTAACGTTTCTGTGGCCCTAAGTAACGATTTCTGTGGCCCTCAGTAACAATTCTGTGTCCCTCAGTAACAATTCTGTGTCTGTCCCTGAAGTAACAATTCTGTGGCCCTAAGTAACGTTTCTGTGGCCCTAAGTAACGATTCTGTGGCCCTCAGTAACAATTCTGTATCCCTCAGTAACAATTCTGTCTGTCCCTGAGTAACAATTCTGTGTCCCTAAGTAACAATTCTGTGTCTGTCCCTAAGTAACGTTTCTGTGGCCCTAAGTAACGTTTCTGTGGCCCTAAGTAACGATTCTGTGGCCCTAAGTAACGTTTCTGTGCCCTAAGTAAACGTTTCTGTGGTGGCCTCAGTAACAATTCTGTGTCCCTCAATAACAATTCTGTGTCTGCCCCTAAGTAACAATTCTGTGGCCCTAAGTAACGTTTCTGTGGCCCTAAGTAACGTTCTGTGGCCCTCAGTAACAATTCTGTGTCCCTCAGTAACAATTCTGTGTCTGTCCCTAAGTAACAATTCTGTGGCCCTAAGTAACGTTTCTGTGGCCCTAAGTAACGATTCTGTGGCCCTCAGTAACAATTCTGTGTCCCTCAGTAACAATTCTGTCTGTCCCTGAGTAACAATTCTGTGGCCCTAAGTAACGTTTCTGTGGCCCTAAGTAACGTTTCTGTGGCCCTAAGTAACGTTTCTGTGGCCCTAAATAACAATTCTGTGTCTGCCCTAAGTAACAATTCTGTGGCCCTTAGTAACAAATCTGTGGCCCTCAAGTAACAATTCTGTGTCTGTCCCTAAGTAACGATTCTGTGGCCCTCAGTAACAATTCTGTAACAATCTCCTGTCCCTGAGTAACAATTCTGTGTCCCTAAGTCCCCCTAAGTAACGTTTCTGTGTCCCTAAGTAACGAACGTTTGGCTGTGGCCCTAAGTAACGTTTCTGTGGCTGTGTGGCCCTATGTAACGTTTCTATGGCCCTAAGTAACGATTCTGTGGCCCTAACTAACGTTTCTGTGTCCCTAAGTAACGTTTCTCTGTCCCTAACTCTCTCCCTGCATACAGCCAGGTCTGCCTCTGTTGAATGACTGGAGGCAAATGGAGAATTCTAAAATGGCCGCCATTTATAGCTCGACCATTACACTGTGCTGGCTGGCTGCTGATGATTGGCTAATGCGATCACATGTCATGAATGATTGCATTATGGGTCAGCGCGCCTTGTCTGCGCGCCTTCCCAGACATCCCCGCTCCATCGCCGCACATGTCGCGCCGCCATTTTAGGAAAAATTTCGATTCGCGCATCCGAAGTCTGCTTATTTTCGGATTCGACGCGAATCAAAATTTTCCTAATATTCTAAACGAATTCCACTTCGCCTACTTCGATTCGCTCATCTCTAGTAATTATATGTAAAAGTGAGTTTTTAAATGTAGGTCTGTTTTTACGACTCCTTGGAATGCCTTGAAGTTCAGTGTGGGCTTGGTTTATGGCTTAATGAGCCCTCACTAGCAAGGGTCTGGCAAACATCTGGGGACCAGCTAATTGAGGTTTATAGCCCTGGAGCTCTCCCACTGAGCTTGACACCTGTGATCTCTGCCTTATCCAGACCACATGTCGCTCAACAGAGAGGGAGGGGGTATGAGGAAAGCTGATGAGGGAGTAGGACATGATAGAAGATGGAAGACCCTTAACAAGATGGAGGACCGCATCCATCTCTGTATGCATGATTGCTACAACCCCCACCCCCTGGCCACTCATTCCTTGTATCCCTCCTTACATTATCTTTGATTCCTGTACCCTGCTACCTTCCCTCTTTTCTTTTTTTGCCTAATGGTTGCAATGGTACCTTGCAAGGTGCAAGTAGACCTTCATTACATCAGATATACAGCAAAAACCATTATGTGTTCCACAATGTACTGTTACATAACATACACTCTATATTGTACTCATGTAACCTCTGTACTTCTGGAAAACTAAAAAAAAGAAATTGAACAAGAACAACTTACATACTGTATGAGGACACTCCGTCCCACAGCAAGTATGAGGACACTCCGTCCCACAGCAACCTACTGAATTCTTCACAGGTTGTTGGCTGGGTCCTGATAAATCTGGATGGTGGGCATGGGGAAAATAAATATGTAGACTAAGCTTTTGCTCTGCTACCCTGCCCTTAAGACTCCCACTAAAGTCAGCCAACTAATCAGCCTGCACCTGTGGGTTAGGATCAGCGTGGTACAACACTGAGGCTCAAGATGCAGAAACTGGTATATTGTAGAACTTGCAGAACAGAGCAGGAACTCACAGTTAATGCAGTGGAGAGTCAGAGGTGGTAGGCTCAAGTTGTAGACAGCACATGGCGAGGGAGGTGGAGTGAGGCAATGCCGGTCCAACCCAAGAGGGTGTTTGAGGAATTGTAGACTTAAGCCATATGCTTTCCCTGCTCCTCTGGAACCTTTCCCTACCACTAGTGCTGTCCCTTACAGATGGGGTATCCCTTCCTACACTAGCCACTTTGCAATGCACACCAAAGCCTGGAGGGCAGAGACCTAAAAATGCTCTGCTTGACCAAGGATGACTGCCAGGGACACCTGGATGCTCCAAGAGACACTGGAACCATAGAGAAACCAAGTTTCTCTTGACTTCCTGTCCACCTGCAGTACCACTCTGGTTGAGCAACACCTACAGTGGAGAAAGCAGACCACACCTGCCAAAATTCCTCCCACCTTTGACAGATGCTGTCCTCAGCTTTGAACAAAACACAGAGCAAAGTAAAACAGCAGTAATGCAAACATCACATGCAAAAAACTCTAAACCACCTAATCAGAATCCTTTCAGGTAATTGTCCATGTAGACAACTGTACTGCTGGACTACATGCTCCCAGAAAAACTTGGACATTGTCTGAGCTGTCTGATCCCTGGTGGACACAATCACAACATATTTGGTGAAGTGGTCCACAAAGATCAGGGCATAACAGAACCCTGTTAAAGAGCTGGAGATCATCAGCAAGTTCACTAATTCAGGGCTCCAAGGTTTTAATGGATATTGGGGTGAACTTCTTTGCCAAAGCTTTGTAAACAGTACAGGTGGCACATTCCCAACACACTTTTTTCCTGCTCTGAGAGAGTGCATCACCCTGGAGACTTAGAAGATGTGCGACTGGGGAAACATGATCTGTAATATATCTCTGTGCTCAGTGGGGATGCGGGCCTGCCAATAAAGAACTTTGCCTTGGGTTTTGAGGCAATCCCATTGTCCTGGTGGTGTCAGAAAATCTCTGGAATTCCTGGGAGGAAGGTTTGCACCGTTGAGTCAGAAAGCCCTGTACCTGTATAAGGTCAGGGTCCTCTTGTTGGATTTGGCCCACTTTTCCAGCATATGCAGTTTTGGTGGCCACTTCGGGGCCCAGGCAGAAGTCCCAAGTGTACAGGTGGAAGTGGGAGTGAGGAGGATAGGGGGACACCTCCACATCTTCTCTGCTAAGGCTGAAATCCTCGCCTAGGCGCTCCACTGGGTATCGGGAAAGTGCATCTGCATGCCAGTTAAGCTTCCCTGGTTTGTAGAATATTTTGTACTTGAAGTGGGATAGCATCTGTCAGTAACCACTCGTCAGATCAAGTGTTGAGAAAAACTTTGCTTGGCCCAGGGCCATAAAGGACTCTTCCACCCTGGGTAGTGGGTAGGCATCTTGGTTAGTGCAGGAAATTAACTTGTGATAGTCCACACAACTGTAGGCTCCCATCTTTCTTTTTTTCAGCATGACAAATGGGGCAGCCCATGGACTGCGGCTCTCCCAGTTGACCCCACTCTGTAGTATGCCCCATTTGTCATGTTACCGATCAAGTCCTTGACCTCTTGGCAGAGAGCTGGGGGAATGTGGCAGTATCACTCCCAGATTGGTGGGGCATCCCATGTGTGGAGGAAGCACGGTGCCCGCTGTTCCGCCAGTTGACTCGGTGCCCGCGGTCTTGCCAAACGACTCGGTGCCCGCAGTCTTGCCAGATGACTCGGTGCCCGCAGTCTTGCCAGATGACTCGGTGCCCGCAGTCTTGCTAGACGACTCGGTGCCCGCTGTTCCGCCAGTTGACTCAGAGCCCGCTGTTGTGCCTGGTGACCCAGTGCCTACTGTCATGCCTGGTGACCCGATGCCCGCTGTCGTGCCTGATGACTCGATGCCCGCTGTCGAGCCAGACGATCCAATGCCTGATGACCCAGTGCCCACTGTCATACCTGGTGACCCGATGCCCGCTGTCGTGCCAGTTGACTCAGAGCCAGCTGTCATGCCTGGTGACTCGGTGCCCACTGCCTTGCCAGATGACTCGGTGCCCGCTGTCGAGCCAGATGACCTGATGCCTGGTGACCCGATGCCCGCTGTCGTGCCTGGTGACCCGATGCCCGCTGTTGAGCCAGATGACCTGGTGCCCGCGGTCAAGCAAGACGATCCAATGTCTGATGACCCGGTGCCCGCTGTTGTACCTGGTGACCCGATGCCCGCTGTCGAGCCAGATGGCCCAGTGCCTGCCGCCCTGCCTGGTTGCCCGGTGCCCGCCGCTCCGCCTGGGGGCCCGGTGGCTGCTGCTCTGCCTGGTGGCCTGGTGCCCGCCGCTCCGCCTGGTGGCCCGGTGCCTGCTGCTCCGCCTGGTGGCCCGGTGCCCGCCGCCCTGCCTGGGGGCCCAGTGCCCGCCGCTCCGCCTGGTGGCCCGGTGCCCGCCGCCCTGCCTGGGGGCCTGGTGCCTGCCGCTCCGCCTGGTGGCCCGGTGCCTGCTGCTCCGCCTGGTGGCCCGGTTCCTGCTGCTCTGCCTGGGGGCCCAGTGCCCGCTGCTCTGCCTGGCGGCTCGGTGCCCGCTGCTCCGCCTGGGGGCCCGGTGCCCGCCGCTCCGCCTGGTGGCCTGGTGCCCGCCGCCCTGCCTGGGGGCCTGGTGCCTGCTGCTCCGCCTGGTGGCCCGGTGCCTGCTGCCCTGCCTGGGGGCCTGGTGCCTGCCGCTCCGCCTGGTGGCCCGGTGCCTGCTGCTCCGCCTGGTGGCCCGGTTCCTGCTGCTCTGCCTGGGGGCCCAGTGCCCGCTGCTCTGCCTGGCGGCTCGGTGCCCGCTGCTCCGCCTGGGGGCCCGGTGCCCGCCGCTCCGCCTGGTGGCCTGGTGCCCGCCGCCCTGCCTGGGGGCCTGGTGCCTGCTGCTCCGCCTGGTGGCCCGGTGCCTGCTGCCCTGCCTGGGGGCCCAGTGCCCGCTGCTCCACCTGGCGGCCCGGTGCCCGCTGCTCCGCCTGGGGGCCCGGTGCCTGCCGCCCTGCCTGGTTGCCTGGTGCCCGCCGCTCCGCCTGGGGGCCCGGTGCCTGCTGCTCCGCCTGGTGGCCCGGTGCATGCTGCCCTGCCTGGGGGCCCAGTGCCCGCTGCTCCACCTGGCGGCCCAGTGCCCGCTGCTCTGCCTGGGGGCCCGGTGCCTGCTGCTCCGCCTGGTGGCCCAGTGCCTGCTGTTCCGCCTGGTGGCCCAGTGCCCGCTGCTCCGCCTGGTGGCCCAGTGCCCGCTGCTCCGCCTGGTAATCCGGCGTCCAGCCTATTGTGCCTCCGTCCGGTGTCCAGCCCGACGTGCCTCCATCCGGTGTCCAGCCCGAAGTGCCTCCGTCCGGTGTCCAGCCCGAAGTGCCTCCGTCCGGTGTCCAGCTCGAAGTGCCTCCGTCCAATGTCCAGCTCGAAGTGCCTCCGTCCGGTGTCCAGCTCGAAGTGCCTCCGTCCGGTGTCCAGCTCGAAGTGCCTCCGTCCGGTGCCCAGCTCGAAGTGCCTCCGTCCGGTGCCCAGCTCGAAGTGCCTCCGTCCGGTGCCCAGCTCGAAGTGCCTCCGTCCAGTGCCCAGCTCGAAGTGCCTCCGTCCGGTGCCCAGCTCGAAGTGCCTCCGTCCGGTGCCCAGCTCGAAGTGCCTCCGTCCATTGCCCAGCCCGATATGCCAGTCTTTGATATCCCGCCAGTCACCGGACCCGGGCAGTGGAACATTTTGCCCAGCTAGGACTGTTTGGAGCGTCCTGAGGCCGCACCTGGGGGGGGGGTACTGTCAGGAATGGACTTGCCAATAGTGGTGGGACTCACCTGCCTTGTGGGCTGCAGTACCAGGGCTGGCCGGCTGGCCAGCGGGTGCTCTCAACAACCAGAGGTTCACTTCGGCAATTAGCCATCACCTGGGGCTGATTGCAGGTGTATTTAAGGGATGGCCAGACCTGCAGTCTGTGCCTTGGTGTGTGTTTTTCCATGGGCCCCTGTACCTTGTAACCTGCATTCCTGTTCCTGTTTCTGCCTGACTTGTTGCCGACCCTGCCTGATCCTGACCTCTGCTGACTTCTCCTGTTTTATCCCTGGCTTGTGACCCTGACCATTCTCTCCACCTGCTCCTCCTGTACCTACCTGCCCGATAGTTATCGACCCGGCCTGCCTGACTATGTTGTGCTCTATATGTGTATGTACCTGTGTATCTATACCAGTTTAGGTTTGGGTTTGTTTCACCTTGTTGTATGTATTTGTGTTAGCTTAATAAATTGTCTTGTTTATACCATATCTGGAGCCTGTGTTTCCCTGTGTCAGTACACACATCTCTGGTCACACCCACATCCCTGACAGTAATGGTGGGAGAACTGGAGGAGCCTGAAGATGTCCCCACAACTAGAGTTTACTGACCTTAAGGTACACAAGGAAAACTTTTGTATGGAGCAGAGAAAATACCCTACCCTTACCAGGGGAAAATATAGTGATGATTAATGATGTACCTGTCGAACCAGGGGACAGGCCCTGTTTTCCTCATTTCAGCAGCAATGAAGGTTTATTGTATCAGGTATACAAAAAGAATGAAGAAATTGTTGAACAGTTGGTGGTCCCTAAGACATACAGAAGGATGGTGTTGGAACTTGCCCATGGGCACTTACTAGGAGTTCATTTAGGGGTGGAGAAAACCACTGAAAGGGTGGTGCGCAGGTTTTTCTGGTACAGAAAGACATTGAGAATTTTTGTCAGTCTTGTCCGGTGTGTCAAATCTCAGCACCTCTGCCCCACTTCCGAAGTCCTTCAGTGCCCTTACCCATTATTGAAGTGCCCTTTGAGAGGAGTGCCATGAACCTTGTGGGTCTACTGCCCAATTTTGCCCAGGGCCATTAATATATCCTAGTAATTATGGATTATGCTACCCGTTACACTGAGGCAGTTCCTCTGCACAATGTATCTGCTAAAAACATAGCTAAAGAGTTGTTCATGGTGTTCAGTCATGTTAGGGTTCCTAAGGAGGTTCTTACAGACCAGGGCACCCCATTATTGACACAGGAAACCAGAGAAATGTGCAAATTGTTTAAGGTGACGCAGTTGCGAACAACTATGTAGCACCTGCAAACGGATGGCTTGGTGGAACGCTTTAATAAAATGTTAAAATAGATGTTGAAAAAGGATGGGAGAAACTGGGACTTTTTTCTTCCATACTTAATGTTTACCATCAGGGAGGTTCCCCAGTCCTCTACTGGGTACTCTTCATTTGAGTTGCTCTACGGGAGACACCCTAAGGGACTCTTAGACATTGCCAAGGAAACATTAGGGGGGAGCAATAACCCCACAAAAGTGTCATTAAGCATATTGTGCAGATGCAGGGTAGGACTTGTCTTATACCCAGGCTGAGAGCTCTGGCTACAGGTCCCAGGTGGATTTAATCGCCCATTGAGAGAGAGAGGTAAACCTTGCACTGGACCTCATATCAGAGATCCCTAAAGGTATAGGTAAAGAACCGGGGAGATCTATAAAACCCGAACAGGACTTTCCCAGGGTTCCTTTGGAATGCTCTGCCACAATATATACAGTTGTGTTCAAAATAATAGCAGTCAGACATCACTAACCTGATCAATCACTGTTTTTGGTAGAAATGATATTTCTACATGGCAAATAATTTACTAGCATGTGTAGTAGAGTAATAGAAATCCAAAAGACCCAACAGTCATGACATGAATGCTGCTGATTCTGTGTAATTGAATCACTAATTGAAAGGGGCATGTTCAAAATAATAGCAGTGCGGAGTTCTATTAGTGAGGTCATTCATTCTTTGAAAAACAGGTGGAAATGATTGCCCTTATTTAAGAAAGGAAGGCAGTGAATGTTGTACATGCTGGTTACAGTGCATTTCTCTCTGAAATTCTGGGGAAAATGGGTCGTTCCAGACATTGTTCAGAAGAACAGCGTACCTTGATTAAAAAGTTGTTTGGAGAGGGGAAAACATATAAAGAAGTGCAGAAAATGATAGGCTGCTCAGCTAAAATGTTCGGAAATGCTTTAAAATGGCAACCAAAACCTGAAAGACGTGGAAGAAAGCGAAAAGCTACCATTCGAATGGATAGAAGAATAGCCAAAATGGCAAGGACTCAGCCAACAATCAGCTCCAGGAAGATCAAAGAAGTTACCTGTGAGTACTGTTACAATTAGAAGACGTCTATGTGAAGCCAAGCTATCTGCAAGAAGCCCCCGCAAAGTCCCACTGTTGAAAAGAACAAACAGTTTCATTATAATAACATAGACAGCAACTTCTGAAAAACTTTCTGAATGATATTTATATTTTCTATCAATCTATTTTTCTGAGAAAAGCTCTTTTCATCTTCAGTATATAGTGTATGTTTTGAAATCCATGACTGATTACCTGCATTATCTTATTGTAACCAGCAACTTATAATGTGGTGCTAAAGAACTCTCATTATTGCACAAATGCACATTGTATAGTATAGAGCTTTCATAACAAGCCAAATTAGCTGACAGGTAAATAAATTTCCCAGACTGTAAAAAGGAAGAGATGGTTCCTTTGCAGTTTGTTCTGGCTGTGTTGTTTTTTGTACACCCTTGTTATAATTACACATGCCTGGCGGCTATTTAACGCGTCTCTCTCTTTCTTGCGATCTTCCCTGCAGGAATTGAGTGAGACCCAAAACATTCCTTTTTTGTATTACTTCCAAACTGCATGATGGATCTTTTGATGCATGCCCAAAGTTGCTTGTGTAACTATTAACATATTTTGCTAAATAAAAATAAACTATATTAATGTTTCTCCAAAGTATGAAGTATTAAGTATGGAACTTAAAGCGGAACTTCACTCTCTTAATCAAAATGGACTATTTTTATCCTTATTCTGATAGCATTAGTAAATAGATAGGAAATGATATCATAGTTCATTTCTTTAGCTTTTTTTTTATCATATCTTCAGTTATTTCCTAGCTTCCATGTCTAGGCAAATGATGGCATAAATCCAGGAATCTTCAGGAGGGGAGGAGGGAGGGTTCTTAGCTCAGCCTATGCCTGAGCTAGGTCTAGATGGATTCCAGGAAGTAATTGCTACATGAATCATCTGCCCTTACTCAAGATGGCCAATGCCAGAAATGCCAGGGGTGTTTTGTTTTAACCTCTTGCCATCCGCCTGCTGTTGATAAATGGCAGGGCGGTGGCACTCCAGGGGCGGGTTGCCGTTCATAAACGGCACCCGCCTTTTCTAGCTGTGCGCGCTCCCTGGGAGCGCGCAGCACCGTGATCCGGTGCCCGCTGTGTCCTCCGGACACAGTGAAACACCGATCATCAGATGGGACCTCTGTACGAGGTCCCGATCATGTGATCACTGATTGGCCAATCAGTGATCACATGCAAAGTAGTAAGCAAGATGTCACTTGTGACATCATTGCTTACTACGTGTGAAATCTGTGAATGATCAGAGGTCACATGGTACAAGGCTATTCACAACAGTCTTGTACCATGTGACAAGCTGTGACCAATCACAGCTCACTCAGTACTTCTCAATGACTGCAAGAATGCAGACAGAGAGAAAGAGAAATGATTGCTTTACATCCTATATGGGTGTAAAAGCAATCAGTGTAAAAAAAAAAATCTTCGACACCCCCCAAAAGTAGTACAGTACCATGGTGACACTGTACTGCTAGGGTGACAGTATGTAAAAAAAAAAATAATAATAATAATAATAATATAAAAAAATAAAATAAAAATGTAAAAAAAAATGTTTAAAAATTATAATTTTTGGTTATAAACTAATTTGGATTTTTTTTTTACTAAAAAAATAACGGAATAAATTTTGGCCAAGATTTATGATGAAATATTATTTATTTGCAAAATTTTATTAAAAAAAAAAACACTTTTTTTCAAAATTTTTGGATGCATGACCGCGCAATTGTCATTCAAAGTGTGATAGCGCTGAAAGCTGAAAATTGCCCTGGACAGGAAGGGGGTAAAAGTGTCCTGACAGGAAGTGGTTAATTATTTCTCAGCAAAATAAAGCATGGAGACATGGATGGATGAGTGAGTTTGCTTTAAATATTTAAAATGAATTTGTGGTTTGTGGTACTCAGATGCAATGCAGTTACACTTAAAAGAGTGTGTAAACCCTGACAGTGAACTTCTATTTGCTCCCTTTTACATATACACTGAAATCATTTTCATATCTGTTTGAGAAGTGCAAAAAAACCCCCAACAAATATCCTGTTAGAAATTTAGAGTTGTCATGTGTCCTCTGCACACTTTCTGTGTAAGAGTATTTTTTTCGCCCTCCTAACATTTACTATCTGCAATATTGTACAACAGAGCAATAAACCTTATAGGTTGCAGAGACCTGAGAGAAAGAGTGGATGGGAAGTTTAGCAAAAGACATTGGGCTTTAGGTGTGAGGTCCATATTCGCTCCAACATTTTTTTTGTAGGCAAATCCACCAGGTTCAAATTTGCATGTGCCAAGTCTGTTTAGTTGAGAACCTGTTTGAATCCATAATTCACTACTTCCATGGTCAGCAGGCTTAAAGTGGAATCAAACAAAGAAGTACTCATCCCCTTATTCCAGCCATGCAATGGTTAATCCCTCAGTGGCCACTGTCATCTTCTCCCTGACTATTTCTGGGTGCTGGATTTTGAGCTTGTGGTGAAATGATGTCATCTCATGCATGCATACGGGAGTCTGTCATTCTAGCACAGCCACAGTATATTGACAATCCTGGCTGACCTGCAGCAGCTTCCTTTTAAAAGTCCATCCCAGACTCACATCTTTCCTTAATAAGGGTTTGGCATAGATTTGAGGGGAAAAAAGGATGTGGGACACACAAAACCCCATACCAGACTCCTTTCTTTGATCTTTGGCAAGGTGATGCATCTTTAAAAAAAAATGAGGGACCCACATATCTATCTCCTCCTTACCGTAATGAGTAAGGGTACCTAATAGTACTCCTTGTTACCCATTTATGGGAAAAAAGGAAATTGTAAATTAATACACCCACACCCATGACAAAGTCCTTTCCTGAACCCTTAAAAAAAAATGTCCCATGGTGTAAATAAAATCACCTCCTGCAGCAAGAAGATTTATCTGCTAAGACCTGATGACCCTATAAGGCAAACATGACGACCTGTGCATAAAGATCCGGCTCTCAACAGACTCTTGACACAATTACATCTCCCCAGCTAGTAGCTTAATATTAACAAACCAATTGGAGATGCGGGCTGACATAATTGGTCAAATATTATTATTATTATTATAATACAGTATTTATATAGCACCAACTGTTTGCACAGCGCTTTACAAAATTAAGGTAGGCATTACAGTTACAATACAATTTGGTACAAGAGGAAACAGAGGGCCCTGCTCGTTAGAGCTTACAATCTAGGAGTAAATATGGTCAGTGACATACTGTAACAAAGGATACCCCCTGGCTCGTTTACCATTTCAAAAATTCTGGTTTGTGGGCCAGAAAGTAATTTATTTAGTGGTGGTGATGATACCACTACTAAATGAATCACTTCCAGGTGCAGCAGGCTAAATCTGACCATTTAATACATACATTCAGCAAACCTCAAAAAGCTAGAGTTTGGGTTTAATTCTCTGTCAACCCAAACCTAAACTTCATCCCTAATAATGATATGATAAGCAGTAATAGTTTACATTTTGCAATTGTAGCAACAATAAATCCTACCTTTTTATTCCAATTGTATAGTTACAGCTTTAGCTTTTCCAGTCCCAGCACACCTGCTGGACCGGTTGACTTCTGCCTTGATTGGCTTCTGGCTCAGGCCCCCTGCTCCTCCAGAAACAGACCCAGACATGCTCCCATCATGTCTTTCCTATCTTTTCCTTACCAAATATAGTTCACCCAGGGTGCATAGTCAGTGCTTCTGTTACATATCGACACTGTTTTGACCTGAGGGCTGGAACACAGAACACTCCAAACAATGACAATGTTTTCTTAATCTCACTTCAGACCAAAGCTCTTGGCCCTATTTCCAAGATGTTTCTACCACCTGTAAGGATTCCAATCAGAAGAAGACATTTTGTTCCCTTTCAGTTTGTAGATATTTCTGTTAGCACAGTTGGCCAAGATACATGTGGGACTTTCCACAGTATAAAAACATAGGTTTCATTTACATTTGCTTTCCTCCATGATGGCACAACAACTCAAGGAAAATTTAATGATGTTATATTTTTATATCATATTGTAGCCCTGATAAAGGTAGTAAAGTATGCCCCCCCCCCCCCCCCCCCCCCCCAGTATGTTGGCTATTATGGTCATTACATGTTTGGAATAAAACCAGTTTTTTTTTATTACATCATCACGGTGTGGTGCTCCAGTCTTCTGATGCAAATTTGTTTTTAAAATGGATATTAAAAAAGGATCACATAGATTACAATATGCAGTGGAATAACTTGCCTGTCCTTTTGCAAGTGTAGGAGAGTTTTCAATGCAGCAGGAGAATTATTACAGAGTGACAAATCTGCCTGTCCTCCTACAGCATGGAGCATCTGACATTCATAAAAATGAGTGAACTGTGGGTAAACAGAGAACCATCAAACTCCTGTTGGGAATGCAGCTGAGTTAGGTTTTTATTTTTGTGCTGCCTAGAATAAAAATGTATGGCCACCACCATTGCCACCTTCTGGCACTTCTCCCCTGTTTCTTTTTTCAGGGAAACACCGTGCATTATGTGTCAAATATTGTGACCCATGCAGGTCATGTACCTTCATGGTGTTGCACAATTTTTTTCCCGCAACTCGATCCTGGCTGCAAAAGTCAAATTTTTTATTATACAGAAACAGCTGTTTTGTGTGGCACAATTTTCAGCCTAATCAAGTGCTCAAGCACTCTTCTGCTACTGAAATTTTTTTGGCTACTGTGATGTTTTAATCAATTTTTTATTGCAAAATGAAGCAAAATAAAACAAACTCTCCCTCTTTGCAGCCTTATTGAATTTGCTTACATACTGTCCTGCTGCTGGTCAATTTTATGGGCTACTGTCTCAGATGCTTCAATTTTATTGTAAGTCAAAACCTACCACATTTCCAAAATAAAGCCTACATACTGCCCTGCTGCTGAAAAATATTTTTGGCTACTATGTCTCAGATGCTACACCAAGTTTTATTGGTGAAAAAAACCTGACTTGTCTTTCTTTATTTGCAGCCTATTTAAAGGTTTATGTACTGTCCTGCTGCTGACCAATTTCTACTGAAATATACCCAAAGGTACAGTTTGAACATTTTTTTAAAGAGTTGGGGGGTAGGAGGCTGGGGGGAGTGCGTTTTTTGTTTGATATTTTTGTAACCTTTTAAGATGGTCAAAGTCTATACCCAGCTCAGGCTGAAGCCATTGTGATAGTATGCAAAAGTTCCAGCTTCAGCTCAATCCTCGCCTATTAGCCATGCCAAGAAAAGGAGCACACAAACTATAGTTTATACAATCATGGTATACCATCACCATCAATACCTGAGGGCTTTAGCTCAAAACTTTAAAAAGACACTTTTAAATCTGTTGTGGCTGCTACATTTTCCAGTCAAAGCAAGCTTAGTACTACTTCTTGCTGCGAAAACTACCTAAAAAATGTTTATTAAACTGAAAATCAAACTCAGTTGCTGCTACTGTATGTACGCCAAGCAGCTCATTTTAAAAGAAATATAAATACATTTCATACTTATAGTATACATGAAGCCTTACCTTGTAAAACAACCCATTCAGTTTAAAATAGAAATTAAAGTCAACATGTTTGTGTGTGTGGATAGATAGATCGATAGATAGATAGATAGACACTTTTTTTTCCATAAATAATCACATAATCTCTGTTCTCAGCTACCTAAGGGGCTTAGAGAAGTAGAGATGGAGAAGGAGCAGTACAATAATGATCCTTCCAATGAATGGCTGAGCGGAGCAAGGAGCCGGTGTGTAGTTCAAGTCTTGGCCATTGGAGGACAGACAGGCTGTTCTCCCAGCACAGCCAGAAAACTGACCATGCTTAGATAGATGTGCTAAGCCTAGTGTGGTCATTTTGAAATGGGAAAGCAGAGAGACTGACAGAATCGCCAGGTATTTCACAGGGAACAAAACAGAGAGAACAGGATACTTTTTAACACAAGTATGTGGTACATAGACACATATCAGGAATATGAAATGCTGGGGAAACATATTCTTTAAAATATGCTTAGCCAAAACTCACTGTCATTGAGGCGTTCCACAAAAATGGCACGGTTTCATAACACTACAGTTTTAAGGTATCCCCTAAGCCTACAATTTAAAATATTATCATTTTTTTATGTTGCACTCAAAACCACTTGTAACACCATCCTAGGAAGCTAGAGGGAGCTAGATGATTGTTTTTTAGTTAGAGGCTGACTAGCAGCCTGGTGAACCAGTCAGAGGGGGTCAAATATTGGTCAGGGCTCAAAGGCTCTGCAGACCAGCTTTCTGGAACTTCCCCCTGATCTAGATAGTTGGAGAAGCCTCTAGAATTCAGTGGGTGGGGGTGAGGAGTGGCTGCACTCTCAAGGGATCCTGGCAAATCCTCAAGCAGGAGGCTTGGCATGGGGTCAGGACAACCCTTAAGTTGTTGCCGACCACAGATAGCCGAATGACGGCTACACTGTGGCCGGCCAGTTTTGGGAGGGCGTCATATGACATCCTCCCAGAACACGCTCTCCTGCGCTCCCCCGGGGGCACGCACCCATCGATCTCCATGATCGCTGTGTCCTATGGACACAGCTGATCACGTGATGTCATAAAAGGCCAATCACAGCGGCCTTTTACCACGTGATCAGCCGTGTCCAATGACACGCTGATCATCGAAAAATGCAATTTCCGGTTCTCTGCTGCACTTTCCTCATGCTGTCAGAGCGTGAGGAAGGTACTACCGAGAAGTTTTCAGAGCAGGGATTGGCACCGATCATCAGGGCACTGATGATCAGTGCCCAGAAGTGTAACCCACCAGTTGCACCCACCTGTGCCCAGCAGTGCCCATCAGTGCAGCCCAGCAGTGCCACCAGTCAGTGTCCAGCAGTTGCGCCAGTCAGTGTCCAGCAGTGCCGCCTGTCAGTGCCAGCTCATCAGTGCCGCCTATCAGTGCCACCTTTCAGTGCTGCCTATCAGTGCTGCCTATCCATGCCACCTCATTAGTGCTGCCTATCAGTGCCACCTATCAGTGCCCAACAGTGCTGCCTATCAGTGCAGCCTCATCAACACACATCAGTGAAGGAGAAAAATTACCTGTTTGCAAAATTTTATAACAGAAACAAAGAAACTTTTTTTCTCCAAATTTTTTTTTTCCTCTTTCTTTGTTTATAGCGCAAAGTAAAACACCCAGCTGCGAGTAAATACCACGAAAAGAAAGCTCTATTTGTGAGAAAAAAATGGGTATAATGTTGCATAACTGCGCAATTGTCATTCAAAGTGCGACAGTGCTGAAAGCTGAAAATTGGCCTGGTAGAAGTACCCAGTAGGCAAGTGGTTAAGAGTGACTGAGCCTACTCAGCAGCAGGAGAGTTTGGGTGGAAGTTGGACTAAGCAGGATGGAGTGTGGAGCCTGGGAGGTGGTCCAGGAGAGGGGCCTACCTACAGGGAGGATCTCAGAGCCTCACTGTCCCCTGAGAGAAGACAGCCTGGAAAGCAAGGAATGAGCCAGCCCAGTGTAAGGCCTGAAGGCAAACACCAACCCACAAGCTTGCAGGAGAGACTGAGTGAGAAACCCCACACCCCCTGGGCCAGATAAGGGGAAAGGACATTCATGTGGGAAACCCGACTAGCCCCCATCTGGAACTGCTTTCATATAAGGTGGAAGCTTCTGGGACCTGTTGACCAAGGATTCCTTCAGGCAGCTGGGTGAAGAGGAGATTTCATTTGGGGTCTGAGGTGGTACACAATCATTCTCTGCAACTTCAATATCTTTTTTAATGTTAACACTCCTGCTACTTCTAAATTTCTTAATATAGCCTCCTCTTTTGTCCTGAAGCAATGGATACAGACTTCTACTAACTCCAATGGCAATACCCTTGACCTTGTATTCTCTAACCTCTCCAACAACCCTCTCCCGCTCTCTGATCACCACCTTATTTGATTCACTCTTTCCCTGTCTCCCATCTCCCTTCCCTCCAACCACCTAACAGTTACCCATAGAAACCTTTACCATCTCAATTCTTCTCTTCTCTACTCTGCTACTGACCACCTCTATGACAAAATATAATCCCTGTTCTGTCCAGATCTAGCCACTTCTGTCTACAACAGTTCACTGTCCTCCTCCCTAGACAAGCTCGCCCCCCTCATTACATGCACAGTCAGGCCCCGACCCCTACAACCTTGGCAAACGGATGACACCAGAGGTCTCAAAAAACATAGCTGCGCTCTTAAGTGTCTGCGGCATAAGACTAAGTCTTAGAATGACTTCAACCAATAAAAATCTGCCCTCCGGAAATACTACTCCTGCCTCCACACTGCCAAGCAGACCTATTTCATTATTCTCATTAACACTTTCTCATCCAGTCCCCATCATCTCTTCTCTACCTTCAACTCTCTTCTTCATCCTCCACTGCCTCCACCCACTAGCTCAGTTACTGCCCAGGAGATCGCCAATCACTTCAAAAAGAAAATCGATACAATTCGTGAGGAGATCTCTGATGTGCAGATACCTCCCTTACTTAACATTCCACATCCACAGGGGCAATCACTACTTCCCGTATTCAACCCCACTACTACAACCTCCCACCTAACTATGTGCCCCCTGGACCCTGTGCTGTCACAAATGCTACGGTCACCCTCAGGCTCTGTCCTACACTCTCTAACTCACATCTTCAATCTCTTCCTCTCTTCTGACATCTTCCTCATTTCTCTAAAACATGCACTAGTCACCCCCATACTTAAAAAGCCCTCACTAAACATCTCCAATCTTAACAACCTATGACCCATCTCCTTACTTCCCTTTTCCTCCAAACTCCTTGAACGCCTGGTCTACAAACCAGCAGAGCCTCACTGAGAATAACCTTCCTGATCCCCTTCAGTTTGGATTTTGCTTTCACCACTCCATGGAAACTGCTCTCCTCAAACTTATAAATGATCTACTAATGGATTAAACCAATGGACACTGTTTTCTACTCCTATTCCTGGACCTCTCTTCTGCCTTTGACACAGTGGACAACTCCCTCCTCAAAAAAAAAACTCTACTCCCTTTGGTCTCCGTGACCCTTCATTGGTTCTCATCCTACCTATCACACCGCACCTTCAGTGTCACTTACAAGTCTACTTCCTCTTCTCCTCTTTCTTTCTCTGTTGGGTTTCTTCAAGGTTCTGTTCTGGGACCCCCTCCTATTCTTCAATCTACACCTCCTCTCTGGGTCAACTGTTTGCCTCCCATGGCTTTCAATACCATTTCTATGCTGATGACACCCAAATCTCTCTACCCCTCGGCTCACTCCATCAGTTTCCTCATGCATCACTAATCTATTAACAGACATATATCAGTCTGGATGACACATCACTTCCTGACAATTAATCTATCCAAACTGAGCTCATGATATTTCCTCCACGATGCGCCCCTTCCACTGACTGACTCAGTGTCTGCCACCCCTCTTTGCTAATCCCTCCACTGGCTCCCGCTCATCCAACGAATAAAATTCAAGATACTTACAACTTAGAAAGCCATCCACAACTCAGCCCCTAGTTACATCACTAACCTGGTCTCAAAATACCAACCAAATTGTTCTCTTCATTCCTCCCAAGGCCTCCTGCTCTCTAACTCTTTTGTCACCTCCTCCCATGCTTGCCTCCAGGATTTCTCCAGAGCTGTTTTCATCCTCTGGAACTCCCTTTTCCAATGCTATCTCCATCTCTGTCCACTTTTAGACTATCCCTGAAAACTCATCTCTTCAAAGAGGCCTATCCTGCCCCGACCTAACAAGTATTACATGTACATGTATTTTGTCCATTAGCCCACCCCCATAGCTACTACCCTCCCTCTTAGATTGTAAGCTCTAACGAGCAGAGCCCTCTGAATCCTCCTGTATTAATTTGCATTGTAAGTGTACTGTCTGCCCTTATGTTGTAAAGCGCTGTGTAAACTTGGTGCTATATAAATCCTGTATAATAACAATAATACACCAGGAAAGACTGATTAGCTCTCCAAGAAAAGAAGAGTAAACCCTTCTGACTACTTGTACATAGTTTCAAGAAGTTGTCCTCGGTTTTACAGTTCCTTGGGCATCCCATGTACCCCTCATCCCCATCCAAATTATCATCCCCTAATAAAATCCAAAAAACAGATTTGAAGGATTGTTTACTGTCTCTGGAGTACAAGTCTGGAAGGAAATGCGTGTTGTCTGGCTGTGCAGGACTATAGGGGGACCCAAATCTTAGCAACTCCTAGGGGCGTAGTGCTACACACATAACAAGGACTTTCTTTATGCTCTACTTTTTTTTCTTTTTTTTGCATTGGCACATGCCTCTTATGGTAGTGCTATTGTCAAAGAGGCAATTGTACTGTCTGCCCTCATGTTGTAAAGCGCTACATAAACTGTTGGAGCTATATCAATCCTCTATAATGATAATGTAATTTTTTGACAGTGACTCCAGCCTAGAAGTCATCCAATTCTTCACTCTCAACCAACTGTTCTCTGTAGCACATTCCATCTACTTATCTTTTTTTGGCTATTCATTAACCGCTTGATGATCGCCCCGTAGCTGCCGCTCTGTGCAAAATCACACAAATATACGTGACTGCATTTCCAGGCAGGGAATGTGCACACTGCCCTTCCCGCACTGCTATTGCCTCCTGAAGATGTCAATCACCGGGTCCCAGCTGACGATTTCTGGCCGGGACTTGGTGATCGCCAACGAAGGTGAGCGGGGAAAGATCTGTGTGTAAACAGCACAGGTCTCCCTCCTGTCAGCATGGACATTATACAGAGAGATAGAAAGCAGCAGGTCTCGTTAGTAAAGCACAACACAATACACAGTCTAATCACTCCCTCACACACAAAGTTACCCCTTTGATCACCCCAGATTTTAATACAGTATCATTAGTACAGTGTCAGTGCTTTTTATAAGCACTGATCACTGTATTAGTGTCACTGGAGATGTCAGTGGCAGTTAGTCAGAATGCCCACCGCAGTTCTGCAGTCCTGCATTCCTGCTATAAGTCGCTGATCGCCACCATTACTAGTATAAAAAAAAATGAAAATCCCAGTATACTGGGATATATATATATACATACCACCATTTGTAGACACTATAACTTTCATGTAAACCAATTAATATACACTTATGGGGATTTGTTTTTAGCAAAGACATGTAACAGAATACATTTAAAAATATAAGAATAAAAGTTACAAATATTGTTTGATTTTTTCAAAATTGTCAGTCTTTTTTTGTTTGTCAAATTATGTAATTTTTATGTCTACTTGCAATTAGTAGTTTATTTTTTAACTGACCAGGCAGTTGTCTTAAAACAGGTTCTTTATCAAGCTGAATTTTAAGTTTGCTAATTACCTAATTAGCATTGAAAAAAAAAACTTTCCCTTCCAACAGGAGTCAGTTCCAATATCTCATCTCCCCTTCTGGAGAGTTCTTGGAAGCAAACTTTACTTGGAAATTTGGGTCAGGCTCAAGGTATTTTAATGATATTAACTTAATGATAGGTTCTAAAAATGATCCTCCAAACATAAAGAATAAAATAAATTAAGATTCTTGTTTACTGATATGTGACTGAGTACACATTTTATAGGGCTTGGTAACCAGATATATTTTAATGGATAATGGTTTACATATATTTTATAGACATTGGGGTTGATTTACTAAAGGCAAATAGGCTGTGCACCTCGCAAGTGCAGCTGCACTCATTTTCCCCAGAGCTTTGTAAATGCGGTAAAGGTCTGCTGATTTCCATTTTCCAATCATGTGCAAGCAAAAAATGTATTTATTTTTTATTTTTATTATTTTTCTTGCACCTTATTGGGTACTATTTACAAAGTGAAGCTTTACCACATATACATTTACTAAGGAAAATGAGTGCAACTCATATTTTGCCTTTAGTTAATCCACCCCATTGCATATCTACATTTCAACAATTTCAATATAATAAAATAATTTTTTTTCTGGTAAGATAAAATTATGTTTAGTTATATAGCTTTCTAGTTCTTTTATAGATCAAAAATAATAGATTTTTATGAGAAACATTTGAGTATATATGATCAATACACTGTAAAGGTTATTTTACAATTATAACATAACATCTTATTTTAAGACTTTAAAGCAGTATTATACCCCAAAACAAAAATTGAATATATTGCAGATTCCCAATTTTTAGATGTGTGGCTGCCTTTGTTTTTGTTGTTTGTCTTTTTTCCCTCTTTCATATGGCAATCCAGCCAATAAGTCTTATTTTTCAACCTCCTTTAACCACTTCCCGACCGGCCGTTGTATATAAACGGCCGGACGGTGGCACTGCAGGGTCGGGTGGCCGTTTATAAATGGCCTCCCCACACCCTGCTTGTGCGCGCTCCCTGGGAGCGCGCAGCACCACGATCCGGTGCCCGCTGTGTCCTCCGGACACAGTGAAACACAGATCGTCGGACGGGACCTCTGCACGAGGTCCCGATCATGTGATCACTGATTGGCCAATCAGTGATCACATGCAAAGTAGTAAGCAAGATGTCACTTGTGACATCATTGCTTACTACGTGTGAAATCTGTGAATGATCACAGAGGTCACATGATACAAGGCTATTCACAACAGCCTTGTACCATGTGACAAGCTGTGACCAATCACAGCTCACTCAGTACTTCTCAATAAATGCAAAAATGCAGACAGAGAGAAAGAGAAATGATTGCTTTTACATCCTATATGGGTGTGAAAGCAATCAGTGTAAAAAAAAAAAAAAAATCTTCATCACCCCTCACAAGTAGTACAGTGTCACCATGGTGACACTGTACTGCTAGGGTGACAGTATGTAAAAAAAAAAAAAATATATAAAAAAATTTAATAAAAATGTAAAAAAAATGTTTAAAAATTATAATTTTTGGCTATAAACTAATTTGGATTTTTTTTTTACCAAAAAAATAACGGAATAAATTTTGGCCAAGATTTATGATGAAATATTATTTATTTGCAAAATTTTATAAAAAAAAAAACCCTTTTTTAAAAATTTTTGGACTTTTTCATTTACATAGCAAAAAAAAATAAAAATCACAGTGGTGAATAAATACCACCAAAATAAAGCTTTATCTGTCTCAAAAAAATGGTAAAACATTCATTTGGGTACAGTGTTTCATGACCGCGCAATTGTCAAAGTGTGATAGCATTGAAAGCTGAAAATTGCCCTGGTCAGGAAGGGGGTAAAAGTGTCCGGTCTGGAAGTGCTTAACAGACCAAGCTGTCCAGACAAAGCAGCAGTTAGAGGGTTGAAGCAAACCATTTAACACTGCAAAGGGTGCTTACAATGGTCAGCTTTTATTTATTTATGTGAAATCTTTACCCTAAAAAAACCTTTTGCTTAAAAAGGCTTAGCTGGAGTTCAATTGTAATTTATTAGTGAAGCCCACCCAAATGCTGTCCAAAGGTGTCTCCATTGCTCCTCTGTGCTCCGAAGTATAGAACTGTAGCCACTATATTTAGTTGACATTCACACCTAAGCATCCTACTTTCAAGTGTTGTTTGGAGCTTTTGTCAGGCATTTTTTCTGGTGTTTTTTCATACGTCTCTCCACTAAAAGTTGTGGAGTGAAATAACAATTATAAATGTGAAATCCTGTGAGCAATCCCCAAAAAATTTAATTTAAAATAAAAATTAAATTAAATTAGAAAAGCTACTCACACCTACACATACTCATAAAAATGTGCTAAAAAAACATAAAATAATCGTGCTGCGCTTCTCTTAATGTTAACCAATAATGTATATAAAATTCCAATGTGAAAGAATTACAAAATTTAAACACAAAAATACTAAATAATAAAGTCCATCTCCATATCGTGATTCTTTCAATATTAATGATGATCTGTGCCATTCAAATCTTCTTTTTAACATATACAATGTGTCTTCACCAACACCAACACCAGTTGTGCTCTCATCTGAGATTTTTGACCGCACAATTAGGTTTGGTCAAGACTCTCTATCAAGACTCTCCTTCGCTGCTGATTCAGCTCCTTCCTTCTCCTCCGCTAGCACACACATATAGGAAAAACATAAGCAAACCAATAGTGCTTTATCGTTTAAAGAAACTGACAATTTATTATATTATACAATGGCCACTCACATAATACAGGTGATCCATTGCACCAAATATTTCACATATGAGTAAACAATCCTCAAACCATAGGACTCCCGGAGAGTACTCACGGAGGGGAGTCTGGTTAGATCTATTAGAGCCTGAGGGTGTCAGCTAAGGTTTTTTTTTTGTTTAAGTGTTGTCATCTGCATTCCTGAAGAAGAAATGGTATCTTGTTCCAAGAAAATAATAAGTCATTGAAAACAAAATAAATGCAGTTTCCAAGTTGTTGTGCTTTAGATTCAAACCACTAACCACAAGCCCATCTGCACTGTTGATTAAGGTCATGAACAAAAGACATACTACAGCACCTGGAATAGGAAATGGCTGGTGATAGGGGAGCTGCCACCTCCCCTAGATTAAGTCTATACAACTGGAATACACATAAAATGTATGACAGCAACTCACTAAGGTGAGTAATACTTTATTTATAATATATTTCTTGTGTCATTTCCATCTACACTTACAAGTGCTTTTCCATTTCTATGTGTATTTTTTAACTCCCCTTACATAGGGAGCTTTGGTTGCTGACCCAGGTTCCCCCAGAGGTCCAAGTGTGAGATGGGGAAACAGCTCTCATTGTTTGAACACTGGTGTGGAAGTAAATTATTGTGTGGAGTTAATTAAATGTTTTGACTGACATTCTGCGGTTTAGCCACAAGATGTTACTGTTTTTCTAACACAGCCTCAGACTGCATAGATATTTGTATATTCATGAAGAGGTGGGGTTTTCACACAGAGCAGAGAGAGAACAGGAAGGAGAGAGAGAAGCCATGTTTTGGAGCATGGTGAATAAGGGGCCCTGTGAGCTGAGAATCTGAGGACATCTAGGTGTGAAAGCATCCCTCAGTAACCAGAGCTGCAGCTAAGTGAAGTTGATTGTGTCCAAGACCCTGATCCCGTTCAGAGAAAGGAAGATTGCTGCCAGGAATACTGATGAGAGCAGAGGAACTAAGCAGCATATACTGTGATACTGCATGCTTGTTGGAGAGACATTTGTTCTGTTCAGAGTCACCAGCGGATGCAAAGCAGACTCGGGTCGGTAAGATCGTGCACGCACCTCATTTCAGTGTTGGCACCTAGAGACTGAGGTCAGGCCTATAGTTAGTTAGTTAGGATCTCTGTTTGTGTCAGGCCACAAGTGTTGTTACTGATTATTGGAAGGACTCCACAACTTAAAGTGACATTTCACATTGGAGAGCTGATAAAATCCCACAAATTCAAGCCAGACTGGCGTTTTGCTCAGAAGGAATACTCAGGCACGTGCTACAGGACCAGTTATGGGAGGGGGAATACTGTAGATTTGTGTAAAATTGTAAGCTGTTGTGCTGCACCGCAGGCTGTCCCATACCATACACCCATACACTGATTCCTGCTCTTTTAGGGTAATAACAGGTAAGGTGTGGCAGCTTAGTTGTGCCCGTCAGCAGGTAAATTACTTCACTTTCTACCTTCATCCATCAGAAGGCGCCGTGCTGTGCAGCACAAGCCTTTGGGCTGGGTGTATGTAAATTTATTGTATGTTTCCAGCATTTGTGGTTGTGTTTATTTGCCACATCTAAGTAAAATTCTGTTGTGGCAAAAGCTGGTGTTGAGGTTCGTGACTTCACTGTATCCTGGGGAGCCCAC